CACCCACGTGTCATTTCCTCACTGTCGGTGGTGACACACACATTCGCATCTCTCTGTTACCAAAACATCGCTCAGTCGGGTCTTCCTCTTAAAGGTCAAACAGGGTAAATTGCATTCTCATCCTCTAACTTTTATCATAGTTCTAGATTAGTGGAAGATTTTATAAAATTACATTTACATACCTCCAACCACCGTCAACCCAAAAATTATAAATTGAAGATTTATCCTTATATTTTGTGTTTATAACACAAAGGCCCCTAAAAATAAAATATAAAGACTTGATAAACCAAAATCCAATATCTTCTTTCCTAAATTGCCAAGACTTCATTTCCAATAATGGCTCTTCTTCTCCGAAGCCAATTAGGAAAGAACTGAAAAGAAAACCCTAACCTTTTTTATTATCTCTATCTTATTCCCTTTCTGAATACCCAATTCAGTATTAAAACCCTAAATTGGTATTCTCTCTGTTGTCAAATTCAACGACCGATTTCATGGGACGTGATTCTGCAACCTTTTTAGCTCCTGGGTTTCGTTTCCACCCCACTGATGAAGAACTGGTTCGCTATTATCTGAAGCGTAAGGTTTGTAACAAACCCTTCCGGTTCAACCCCATCTCCGAGGTTGATGTCTACAAATCCGAGCCTTGGGACCTACCTGGTAATTTTGTCTCTTCAATTTTGTGTTAGAAATTATTGTCAGATATGAATCTTTGAAAGTTTGAGGATGATTGACTGAAAGGAATTGCAGAAGGATTTGTGCTGTGATGGTGCTAAATCTGGCAGATTAGTTGTGGTGCTTTTTTCTTGAATTGTTGGTTTTTGAATTGGGTGTTTGATTGCTTGTGTGGGATTGTAATTCAGATTGTATCTTGTTGTTTTATGAAAGTTGGAATAGGGAGTGCCTATTGTTGATGATTTTGGGCAGTTGCTTGAAGCCTTTATTTTTTTGTTTTGGGGGGCAATCCAATAAATTGTTTATTGTATTTATGAAAATTGATATTTTGTCAATTACATAAACGTTAGGCTAGGATAGATTTTTCGCTGTTGACAAACTCAATGGTTTTTTATTTTATTTTTTAGACAAGTCGAATCTGAAGACCAGAGACTTGGAATGGTACTTTTTCAGTGTGCTGGACAAGAAGTATGGGAATGGGTCAAGGACCAATCGAGCCACAGAGAGAGGCTACTGGAAGACTACAGGAAAGGATCGGACGATTCACTATAATTCTCGGATTGTGGGCATGAAGAAGACCCTTGTTTATCACATTGGTCGAGCCCCTAGTGGTAAGAGGACTAATTGGGTTATGCATGAGTACCGCCTTGTTGATGAGGAATTGGGGAAAGCTGGAGTTCAACAAGTGAGATTATGATTTTGTGGGTCATGTTTATTAAGTAATTAGTATTATGGTTTGATTTGATAATATTCTATAGTGAAATAATTGGGTTTTGTGTATGGGGTTTTGTTGGGAAGGATGCATTTGTTTTATGTAGGATATTCCAAAAGAGTGGATCAGGGCCAAAGAATGGGGAGCAGTATGGGGCACCATTTATCGAGGAGGAGTGGGACGATGATGAAGTGGCTCTTGTGCCAGATCAAGATGCTGTAGCAGATGAGGTGGTTGTCAGTGACAATGCATTTGTTGAAGTGAATGATATTGATCAGGTTTGTACTTCCTCCTGGCATTTCTATTTATTGATATTTGATATTTGATGTAGTGAAGGCGTTATCAGTTTAGTTGCTGTTGCTTGTACCAAGTTGTTAGATACAATTTGTAATAGTTTTTTTTTCCTTCTTGGAAATTGGAATCTTATTTCACGGACAATTCAAATCATTGAAAACCACCATGATATAATATTAGATAAAACCTTAAAACCAACTTGTGAGATGTTACTCACACTAAACTAATGATGATATCAGACAGGTGTAGGCCTTGTGGCCAATTTTCTTATTTGGGAACATACATTGCATATTTCTATTGTCTTGATCTTTATAGCAGCCCTGAATACCTTTTTTTTTTTTAACCTAAGTTTCTCCTTTAGGTGATTGCTTCTTTTTCTTCTGTTCTGATCTATTCTCATTTAAATGCTTAAAATTGTGCATAATGTTTGTTCCACCAGATTCCGGACAATAGCAATCCATCCGAGGATTCTCCTATTCCATTCAACTTCTATCATGGGGAACCTAGTAACTATGCTGAGCATTCAATGGAATTTAGTGAAGACGGTCAAAAGCCTGTTATATGCATGCAGGACACTCAATGTGGTACAGAGCCACATTATGCGCCAATGTTCTCTAATTTGCCTCAGCATAATGTGATGGATGCCAATCTAGTAAAAGATGGATATGGGCCTGCATCAATTAACAATGCAAATGCTGATGATGCTCCTGTTGAGCCATTCCTCGATGCTAGTGATAATCTTACAGTTGGTGATGATGGACTGTATCTAGAGTCGAATGATCTTTCAAATCCTGTTGAGGCAGATTCTCTAGGTTTTAATGTTGATGATTTCCTTACATTCTTTGATGCTGATGATGACTATGTGGCCTTTGATCCTGCCCAAATGATGGGGAGTGAGATACCTGTTCCTGACCAAGAGCTTCCCACTTTGCAGGTAGATGTTCACTATCACTCTTCACCATCCTTTTCTCCTGAAGAATTTGATTAAAACTTCTAGTTTAACTCATGTTACATTGTGACAGCATTTGAATGGAGGGACTGAGCAGGTTCCCATCTCAAGCGAACAGCTAGTGGAACCACATGGCAACAACCATGCTTCCTCTTCAAAGCAAAATCCTGAGGCCACCTTATTTGGGAAAGGTGAGTTGATATGAGAAGTTACTTACCTGGCATCATCAGCTTGTTTAACCTTGTTTAACATCATTAAAAGCAGGCCAATAAAAATATATCATTAAAAGATAAATTATTTGAATTTTCTTCCTTCTTCTTATACTTATCCAATTTCATATTTTTATCACTTTGTTTTATTATCAGATACCAACTATCCATTCATCAGAAAAGCCAGTCATATGTTGGGAAGCTTTCCTGCTCCCCCTGCTTTTGCCTCAGAGTTCCCTACAAAAGATGCAGCTCTTCGTCTAAATGCTGCAGCACAATCTTCCAGTCCTATCCATTTTACTGCTGGTATGCTAAGAGTAACAAACATGACTTTATCAGGCAATGAATCATTTGGCAAAAATGGGAATGTCAATGTTGTTGTTTCCTTCGGCTCATTGCAAGATGGTCTTCTGCCAATGGCCAACCTATTCTCAGGCAAGACAGGGTCCATGGTGTCACGCGGCTGGTTGTTTCTAATATTCTTTTCAGTCCTGATTCTTTCCTTGAGTTTCAAGATTGGGACTCATATGTATGCCAAAGAATACGGTCAATAGATGAAGTTGATCATGTCTCACTCACAATGACACCTTCTCAAAATACTCTAGTTGGGTACTGCACTGTTAGTACTCAACCCTTATAATTATATAGGTTTTGTCGGAGTTTCAGGCAACTAAAAAATCGAACCTTTGTTCGGTTTTTATTTTTGTTATATGCAAATCAACAGTAGATGTCCTATGCTGCACCTTTATCACTTACATGTAATCCTTCAAGAATTGCTTAGCCGCTGTGGTTGTAAGAATTCAGATTTTGTAAGAACTTTTTACTCTGTGTAGGCTACACAACCTTTCTTTTCCTTTTATTTCATTTCTCTTTTTCCACATGGGAATGATCATTTGTTAAAGCCAGTATGAATTTATGAATTTTTTGAAGAATAAAGTATTGGACTCCGCCGCCAACCATGCAGCCTGGACAGAAGAACTCAGGTAACAAATTGAGAGGTAAGAACATCCGTAATCAACCTCCAGCTAGACAATGTTCTTTGTTATTGTACATAGGGGACTAAACAGACCTCTGGAGCAGATTAATTCAAGCTCCAGGTTATATTCTGGAGATATTCTTTATCTGAAAATCCACTAAATAGTGAAAACTTTGAACCATACTTTATCAATGTCCCTCGTAAATCACACATAATGAATAGGGTATACGTGTGATACCGTCTTTCTGACTTAAAAGATTAACGGGGTAACTGGAAGAATATAACGGCGGAAAAGACTGTATCTGATTGCAGTTACATTTCTCCAGGAAGCATAGTATCCTCCGGTAGATCACAGACCCCAATACCCTGATAGGAATAGAAAAGTTTTGAGTTACTATATCCCAGTACCGAAGAAAAGAGAGTGCTGTGATGGGACACTACACTTACCTCGCCAGTGAGGTGGGCGACACATCTCTTTTCAGCAAGTAACTCTCCTTCTGTCTGCAAATTAGTTGTGTGGGAAGCAAAAATTAGAAAATGGAAGCTATTACAGTCATGACTGTCTAATTAATTTGTATGTTTTGTAAACCAAAAGTTATCCTTAAGCTGAAAAACGCAATGGTTTTGTTTGGGGAGAGCAAGAAAATAAAAGGATATACCTTTGTAATTCGCTTAAGAAGATAGTCATCAAATATCACATCCTTGACAAGTTCATAATCACCATCTCCCTGTAGAATGGAAATGAAATGGTTACAGGCAATCTTAGCTGTATGAACATAGTATTCTACAACAAAGGGAGGGTAAAAGCCTGGCCTTAAGCTTACTTTTGATCTGCAAGGCATGCTGAAAACAATATCCTCTGCTATGCCGTACGAATTTCCATTGGTATAGACCTACATTTGCAGCAAACGGTGAGAATGGAGATTCAATTTAAGCAATGCAATGCAATGCAAATTCAATCATGATTACATGATCTTTATCTCTCCTGCCACTGAATCTGGTTTCTTGCTGACAGGATGGTAGATATGCAAGGATGCCGAATTCAGATGCTTATCTTAAAAATAAAAATTTGATCCAGAATTTGTCAGCATATAGATACGTGCATCTCCACATATCTATTTCTTGGAGCATGTAGGACTTCACATGCGAAGACTTTTAAGGAGACGGTTTTAGAAAGTTGCCATTCTGGCTATTATAAAACAAATGGCTTAAAATTTGAAAAGATGCATGCATTTTCTCATGTGTTACAATAGTCATGAACTTACTCCAGAAGAAAACCAATCACCCTCGGGTGTAGGTGTTATTAGAGACTTAATAGCATCAGCTATTGACACAGCTGTGGATGCAGCCGAAGATCTTCCCCATTTCTTAATTAACACACCACCTCTCTGCAATCAAATGTACATGCTTAACCCACTGAACTTGAGACCCAAACAGTCTAATAAGAAACTTGATTCAGCACACTACAGTAAAGATTTATTAACTTAGCACCTAGAAGAATTTATCAACCATGGTTCTACAAATCTTACCTTCTGGACCTTTTCAGTGAACTCTTCTTCTAACCATTTGTGATCCTTGATAACCTCTTTGACGGCTAAGCCATTGATTTTAGCATTTAGAAAGTCTGGTACCTGCTCAAAACGACACATAGAATATCTTCAAAAGCTTATAAATAGATTGCAGGAACTTAATTTATGCCCTCTCAAGGAAAATATCACTACCTGCGTAGTTGAATGGTTCCCCCAAATTGTTACATTTGACACTTTGTCATAAAAGACACCTGCTTTTAGCGCAAGCTGCAAAATGATAGCCAATATGTAAAATAGATTTTTGAATGTGGAAATAATAACCACTCATCTCTGGAACATTTATGTTAAAGCTGTATAATTACCTGGCATTTAGCTCTATTTTCATCCAACCTAGTCAAGGCGTGAAAATTCTTTGCTGGGATATTTGGAGCATTTTTCATACAAATTAAGGCACTGTATTTTAAAAATAGTAACTAATCAAAGGATTTTAGAAGGCACAGTAATATAACAACAAAAGACAGAATAATATCATCACAGTTAATAGATATAATTATGGCAAAGCCTCTTACTTGGTGTTGCAGGGGTTGCCTACCACTATCACCTTGACATTATGAGATGCAACAG